AGACCAGAACATCTCCTCACCAGCAATCATCACCCAGATAAGCAGAGATTAACACCAAGATCACCACCAGACATGCAAGCAGTAAACAATACCTTAATCAAGGAACTAACAGAGGGAAAAAATAAAACAAAACCAAATCCCCATCCCCACTGACAGGGCATGCCACAGTATATAAATAGCGAGCAAACCCCATCTCATTTTAGCACTGAAGATGTTATCTAGCCAGGTAATGAAACTTTGCATGAAAACAACCAAGCTCAGAGAACCCCAAGGACTCCACAGTTCATCACATCTTACAGCAACACAGGAACAAGGGTTATTTCTTAAAACAACTCAAAAAGCGTTTCATCCAGAACTATTTAGATTAGAAAATTCATTAAAAAGAGGTATCTATGGAAACTATAATCTTGCTTCTAAAGGCAGAACATAAAAAGCATTAAAAGATAATACTTGTATGTGGTATTATCTAATAATACCAAATATTAGCAAAACAAAAAGTGACAAGAGGTGAGAGAAGCCTTCTCTTTTAAAAAACAAAAACAAAAAAGAGTCGCTACTATAGGCTAACATCTATGGAAATCAAGTAGATCACCAAAACATCTCAAGATATTGGGCGTGATAAGAAAACCAGGTATAATCTAAACCTATTAACGTAATACTCGGGAGTGGAAATGTCCAACATTAACGTTTCGAAACGTTATCTTTCTAGGTCCACACTCCTTGTTTTCGAGACCTTCCCCAAAAAAGAATCGCGCCAGAAAGCTAAGTGTATCTTTAGAAGAAGCGAAAGCCGCGCAACCCGCCTTCAAATTGAGGCAAACGGTAAGGAGAAAACGGAGGTGGGGACAAAAACGCTAAAGAAAACTAACAGCGGGAATAAAAATGACAGACATACCAGCCCCGACAAACCTCTCCTCAAGATTACGCCGCGGGGATGACTATAAGTAAGTCTCTTTCACCACGGTGCCCACAGATGTGGCTGGAGCTGCAACTGGAAGTTACATTCGTATCTTCCAACTTAAGGGCTGTAAATAATGGAAGCTGTTCAAATGCGCATTACGGGAGACAGCCCCTTATTCCCAAGAGCCGACACGGTTGTCACGATCTGCCTGCTACTGGAAGTACTCGCAATCCACGTGTAGATCGTTGCACCGCATCGAGCTCACCGCGCGCACAAGGCACAACTCCGCACGCTTCCGGCTTTACCACCCGCGACGAAAACGAGGCATAAGCAAATATCGTTCTTCCCCCACTAACATGGTGTCTGTCAACACATTGTGAAACAGGGCCCAAGCAAAAAGCATTACTTGTTTTGCACAAGCAGCCGTAACTTCCTCTCTCTGACCAGCAAACTGAAAATCTGTTTTAAGAGTATCTCCAAAATAGTCGGAAGAAGGGGAAACCAAGAAATTACAGTAAGAACATTGCTGTTAATTATAGCAACACATGAAAATTATAAAACATTCTGGAACACATTTAACCATAAAAAAAGACAATCACGCGGCTCTTGAGAAAGCCTGCCCCCCC